AATCTGAATAACTTCTGTGGAAAAATGTTTCTCATATTTTTATTACTTGTTGTTCTTTAATCTATACTTTTTTCTTAGAATTTAATACAATATCTTTCCTTTTTTTCTCAAATATTTTCAGTTGTAATTTACTCATAAGGAAATCTGTTTTTAGTTGTATTTTTTAATTAAGACAACTCTAGAGAAATTCCAGTTGTAAAAATTTTTTTAATATAATTTACTATGACTACATAGTGTTTCTTTTCTTTTTACTTTGGGGTGCCAAGGCACCCTTTTAAATTTTCCAAAAATATTTTCCTAATTAAAATTTATTTTTTTATTCATATTGTGTTGTGTATTTTGTTTCTGTATTACTTATAAATTAGCTATCACAGAAGGTGAAACTTTTATTGAGTTCTCATTGAAAATTTTTTTATCTGTTCAACTTAGCATCCCAAGATTAAATCTTGAGTGCACTAGTGATTTCCATATTTACAGTCCTATTTATATTCCTGTATTGAAAATCCAGTCTTAAAATAAAATGTGTACAAACATGTTTAAAAGAATTTTATTTAATGTAGTAGATTTTATCTAGCCATTTTCTTATTCATCCAGTCAGATTAAACTATATATATATAGTTTATATAGATATTGTTTATTTATTTATTTTATATCAGTAGATTTTTTTTTAACAGTATTTTATTTACTATAATACATAGTAGAGATAAATGCATTTATATTATTTCAATGTCAAACTTTATGAAAATCATTACAGTTGCAGTTTTTAACTGATTTTACTTTTATTTTATTTCATTCTTGTTTGTTTTTATAACTTCATATTTAATATGTAACATTAAAATATATAAAGTTCCTTTTCATTTATTATATTAAGAATAATGAATGCTGATTGTCATTCTTAAATCATAAAGCATATTCACTGTAATTCTTTTCTTTCAATTTGAGTCTAATATGAATTTTTTAGAATTGACAAGATTCTCAAAACTAATGAAATTTTGTTATTGAATATGTTTATTCAAAAATTATTACATTTATTTAATAAAAGGTTAGGCTTATATTAAAAAAAATTATTATATTTCATTATAAATAATTTAGTTATAAAAATAGTCATAAATTAATAATGCTAATGTTAATCAAATGCAAATGTTTGTCCATTTTCCATTATTCAGTTGTTACTTAAATGATAATTTGCTATTCTGAACTGCAAATGGTATCACTAATTTTTTGTTTAAATATCAATGTTAACTATCCACCTCTTTCTTAGCAACTACAACTAATTATATCAACACACCTGAATTTTTTGCCACACATACATAAGTTATTTTATTTCTCTACTTATTATAGCCATCTTCAAGCTTATGATTACTGTTCCAAAATGGAACTCATCATTTTTCGAATACATTTCATTTTAAATTTAAAAGATTTACAATAATTGTGTATATTAAATAAATGAAAAAATAAATAAATACAATAAATAAATAACAATATAAATAACATAAATAAATAAATAAAACATAGTAAACAAGGCTAACAAGGGGACCTTACGGTGTCGGAAATTCAGTTCAGGATGAGACTTTCCAGGTTAGTAGTATACATCAAGGGTGTCCACCCAGAAGAATTGTAAAGTCCACTAGCCAGAAGATTCTGAGAAAAAAGGCTCTAAAGTTTTAAGCGCAGCTCATATACTGATCGATTTTACACTATGGGAATACAGTGAAATGGCTGAGTCTGTAGTGAACTCGCTTGCCACGCAGGCGATCTAGGTTCTATCCTACTTTCAGCTAACTTTTTTTTTATTAATTCTAAAATTGTAACAACTTTTAAATAAAGTTAATGATCTAAAAATATCACCAATTAAATCATAAATAACTGTCAACTTTCACTCCTGGGAGCTAATCATTGGGTGAGTTTTCACAAGTCAGCAGCAAAAGTGACACTTTCACATAACTTTCCTCATTGGTTGAAAATAACAAGGAATTGAAAAATTCTTCAAATTTAAAACGAATATTTTTAACCTCTCCACAGCTTATAATATCTTAAAATTTGTAATAACTTTTTAATGACAATAGTAATTAAAGTTTTAATTTACCTATACATATATCTAACACCTTATCCTTGCCGAGAAATATAATTTAATTTCAAACATTAAATTATATTTCTTGGCAAGGATAAGGTGTTAGATATATGTATAGTGATTTGCTGAGTACTTTATGATATTATTGTTTTAATTTACCTCCATTAGAAATGCATTTGAAATTATTCAACTTTTTAAAAATAAAATACAGTAGGCCTCCTACAACGTGGTAGATACATTCCTTGAAAATACCGCGTTGTGGGAAATTGCATTATAGGAGACACCAACTCAATACAAAAACTGGGATTCGGTTCTAAAAAGAGAAAAACTTGGCGTTTGAATGGCGTTTTTTGACTTTTTCAAACCAGTCATTGGTATCCACGAATTTAACACTAGTTTCATCAGCTGGCCAGTGGCGAAGTGTAGCGGGGGCGACACTTTTAAGGCGCAGCAAAATTTCACAATAAATAATAATAATATCTTGTAAAAATTTGAACCATTTCATTTCCTATTTTTGTCGCACCTACGATTCGGACCAATTGAAATGAGCACGGAATTATTCATTATTTATTCTGTGACGAAACTGAATTTTAGTCTTTTAAATTGAGATACCTAAATAAGGGGGCAGCGAAATTTTCCTCTGCCCCGGGAGGCTGACACCCACGCTACGCCACTGCAGCTGACGACTGTCCCATTTGTTTTAAATAATAAAATATTTTTAAGGCTTTGTGTTTAAGTGCAGTTTTATTTAAAGGCAACTGTTTCTTGTTCATATCTTCTACCCATAATATTAGCGCTTGTTCTATTTTTTACATTATAGGTGCTCTCGGACTAGCAACATTTTTTGCAAGAATAGATGATCCGGATGCGACCAAATTTCTAATCTTTTCTCCTGATTGCTTAATCGACCAAATAGTCGACTCATTTAAATTAAAATGCCTACTAATATCAGCTATCCGCTCTTGATTTTTAATTCGATCCAAAATTTCTATCTTTGAAGAGTTATAAATTTCCTTTTTAACGATGGTCCTTTCTTTTCATTCGGCATTGTTATGGCTAAAATTTTTNAATAGTCGACTCATTTAAATTAAAATGCCTACTAATATCAGCTATCCGCTCTTGATTTTTAATTCGATCCAAAATTTCTATCTTTGAAGAGTTATAAATTTCCTTTTTAACGATGGTCCTTTCTTTTCATTCGGCATTGTTATGGCTAAAATTTTTTCAATCAGTTTTGTGGACAGTAAAAATCGCAAAAAATAACTTTTCTTCACTATGTTGTTAAAAATATACACCCAATAGAAGTTTATACTGTGTTTTGGACCATTTTTGCTGTCCCCACTTATTGAAACAGTATAAATGATGGAAAATTTAGTGATATATTTGAGTGTTTACAGTAACTGATGCGCATCTGTCTAGAAACCGGTCTTCCCCTGAAACTTTCAAGGGAATAAATAACACGCCAACGTCGACAAACAGCTGTTTTCAAAGACTTTTAGCTCTGTATACCAAACTGTGGCTCGTATCACGTGATCCATTGCGATTTTTCTGTTATGTGAAAGATAATTATTTTCTAAATACCGTAAACCGCGTTGTAAAAGTACTGCATTTTTCCAACCGCGTTGGAGCGAAAACGCGTTGTAAAGGTACAGCGTTGTAGGAGGCCTACCTGTATTATCTTTAATTTGCATTTTATTAAAATGTGAATTAAAGATTGTTGCTGTACTCTCATATTGCTGTATTCTCATATTGTAAAATCAATCGGTATATGAGCTGTGCTTAAAACTTTAGAGCCTTTTTTCTCGGAATCTTCTAGCTAGTGCACTTTACAATTCTTCTGGGTTGATACCCTTGAGGTATACTACTAACCTGCAAAGTCTCATCCCGAACTGAATTTCCGAGACCGTAAGGTCCCCTTGTAAGTATAACTACTAAAAGATTTAAGGGTTTTTAATCCCCATGCTTTTTTCTATCATATACATCCATGCTGTTGAAAGAGCATTAGCATCCAAAAACTAGCAGTGACTAACTTAATTTTAATATTATCAATGCTAAATTGTCAGATTAGAGAGATTATACATCATGGTTATAGTTACTTTGTAAAATCAAATAAACAGTATGGCCAGATTATAAGTAAAGATGTTTTTTCATAAATACAGTTAAAAAAGAGACATAGAAAAAGTAAAAATATTATATTAAGGCAAATATGACAACTTATAATATAGTAACCAATTAAAAATTTATGATAGCAAAAAACTAGCATTTTCAGTTTATGAATAAATTTGATTTCTCTGTTGTAATTGTTACAGTGTTGGAGATATTTGGAGAAGACAAATATCAGTTTTATGTTGATAAAAAAAATTAATGGTAACAGGATTATTTTGATGAAAATTATAATTATATTAACTGTAATTCTGATTAATTGAAGTCATTATTTCCACCAATAATTAAATCAAAATTCTTAGTCCTATATTATTTTAATTTGTTAAATTGCTTTTATGAGTAGCAATACTTTGTACTGGTAATATTACTTATTTTTGTATTTACAATAAATATATATGCATTTATTAACATTAACTTTTAATTTTGGCTCTTTATATAAAAATATAATTATAAATTTAGAGGAGATAAAAATATATATAAACATACATTTAAAAATATGACTATATTTTATTAAATGCTAAGATTATAAAATTTGTAGTGTAATGTATAAATTATGATACATTTTAAACATAAAAACTTATTTGAATTATATCTTCTGATATTAAGTGGAAACTGGCCAATTATTGTTTAATAATTTGAAATAATGAGGTACACTGAATGAAATTTAAGAAATGTTGAATTTTATGTGTATTGACTATTTAAAATTTTCAAATGCTAATATAGTGGAACAATGTTTTTCTTAAAACGATATATTTTTTTCTTTTAGAACTACAGATCTTGCACAGAAAATTGAATCTCTGTCTCTGGAAGACTTAAGTAATCAACGATCAAAACCTTCAAATAAAAAAGAAGGAAAGGTTGTTTATTTTTCTTTCATGAAAAATTTAAAAATTCTTTTTATTTTAAGTGAACCTAAAGGTTATTATTAAATTTAAATCATATTTATTCTGTTAATAATTTTTGAATAGCTCAGTTTGCAAATGGAATTTATAAATACAATATTACTTAATTTTAAATTAAAAAATTTGTTTAAATTTAAAATTAAATATACCCCAAATAGTTATGATTAATTCATATACAATAGAGCAGGGCTGCACGAAATATTAATAAATATATCAATTTTCCAACTTAAAGAAATATACAGCAAAAATTTTATTATTATTTTCCACAACTTAGTAAAAGATAAAACAAGAAATCAGATAACAGACTCGCATGAAAACTAATTTAAAACTAGCAGTGACTAACATTCAAACAAATATTTTGGATATATTACGTTCACACAGTGACAGTTAATTTATAATCATATATAAATTGTGATTTACCTACATTTCTTGGGGTTTTTTTATTCTTTTTTCTTTTGTGCAGTCTACAACAGTTTAAAAGTTTTAACTGATCCTTACATAGACAAGGGTTGCCCATTCCTGCAGTAGAGTATTGATTAACCAAGACAGTTTAACTAAGGTTTTTGCTTTATGTGATGTGTGTGTAGTAAAGTACTTTGTTGCAAAGATGAGAACATGATATGGTTCAGTTTTTCATGAATCTTGACCATACATGGTACTCAAAAGAGACTCAAAGTTTTAAAAAAATTTACTCTGGTGACTTCTCACAACAATACAAATTTTAAAACAGATAAAAGAAATTGTAATTGTCATGAAACCTGATTTATAACATTATTCTTGTATTTTGTTGATTATTTTGTACAAAATATTGTATTTTATTCAAGTTATTGATTATTTAAGGTACAGTCACAGTTCACATAACCTTGGATAATGAGGACTCTTATTTTGATTTATTACTGTATTTTGAGGAATAAAAATCTTTCATTATATAAATGAAATGCTTAATCCTTAGATTAAATATTTAATCTATTATCTTGCAATTTTATATTTATATAATTATTTTATACTTGTCTTTTCATACTTATGTATGTTATTTTAATAGAAAAATAAAATGCGAGCAGAGAAAAATAAAGGTGATGACAGCGAAGATGAAGCTTTTGGTAATAAATTTGAAAAACAAACTAAGAAAGGAGATAAAAAAAAGATAGTTGATGATGATAATGACAATATAATGGATGATAATATAAAGTCAAATAAGAAAAAAGGTAAAAAAAGTAAAGATGAAAGTGATGACGATGAAATTTCAACCAAACAATCCAAAGGAAGAAAAAGTAAGAAAAAAGATGTCAGTGATGATGAATATGAAAATCGAGATCAAAGAGAAGAAAAATTTAATTCAAAAAAGCAAAAAGAAAATAAATCAAAATTAGAACAGAGTGATGAGGAAGATGAATCAATAGTAGTAAAGGATAATAAGTTAAATAAAAAATCTAGGAAAGGTAAAAGCGACTCAATTGATGATGATGATTTAATTGAAACTGCAAAAGCTTCTAGGAAACAAAAAGGAAAAAAAGTAATTGATGAAATTAGTGATAATGATTCTGAAAGTGTTAGTAATGTTGTAAGGACTAAGAAAAAAGATGATCATTCTAAAAAACAGAAGGAATCAAAAGAAGAAATTGATAATGAAAGTATAGTCCCAAAAAAGAAGTTAATGAAACCAAAGTCAGTGTTTGAATTATTAGATGTGGAAGATGATGACATGGATCTTGATGATGATGATGATGATGATGATGATTCTAATAAAGCTAAAAGCAAGCCTGAAATGAAGAAACAATCTTCTGAAGAACAAGATAATTTTGCAATAGGAAAAGGTAAAGATGAAAAAGGTAAAAAGTCTAAAAAGAAAGAAAGAAAGAAGAAACACGATGAGGATGAAGAAGTAGAAAAAATGTTAGAGGAATTAGCTTTAGAAATAGAAGGAAAGAAACCTGCTGCTGAAAAACAGAAAGAAAGTACTCCTGAAAATATTGAACAAGATACAAAAATGGAAGAATCAGAAAAAGTATCTAAGAAGAAGAAAAAGAAGAAAAATGAAGTAGAATTAATTGAAACTCAAATAGAAGAAATTGAAGATGTAGTTGATGCTGAGAAAGAAGAACATACAGTTAAAACAGCAGCACAGAAAAAGAAAGAAAAGAAAGAAAAAGAAAAGCAAAAGAAATTATCACAAAAAACACAGGCAAGTTTAAATAGCATTTATTTTTATTGATATATTACATAAGAATAAAAATCATTTTATAATTTAATTATGTTTGATTGTCCAAACAATTAAACAAAGGTCTTTGTTAAATTTAATATTAATTATTGTATTTTTCTTGAAGGAGCGTAAAAAGAATGAAGCTGAAATTGAAGTTTCAGCTACTACAGTCAAACCAAATGTTGTTATGGAAATTGATACAGAGACTGCAATGGCTGCTGAAGAAGAAAAAGAAGAAGCTGGTAAATAATGTTTATTTTTATAAAATAACTTTTGCTAATAAACTTTATAAAGATTAAAATTTCCCACATTATTATGTCATATTCAATGCAAAAATTATTGTAAATATTTAAAAAATGATTAGGGTATTCAAAAACCAGAAAACTTTAAAAACTTGTTCTTTGGATAGTATGTGATTAATTAACTGGTTAAAAAAATTATAATTCTATTTCACACGATGACAGAAATAAATATGTTTCAGTGTTTATTTTTATGTATTTTTTTCAAAATCATGATACAATAAATTCAATGAATAACAAAATTTTAACTACAGATAAGTTCTTTAGGTATAAATATTAAAGAAAATCACAAGAAGAAAATATTGCATATCAATATTGCAATAATATTAAATATAGACAAGCATGAAAAATAAATGTCAATTTTTACATATTTACTAAATTGAACTTTTGGCACAGGTTTTATTATATGACACAGAAATTCTTCACAACAATACCTTAAAGTAATTTCTTGCTACACTTATGTGAGATCCGAATAGCCCCTGGATCTAAATAATAATTTAAAAATAAGTTTAATTTTTGTAGAAAAATATTCTTTCATTTTGGTGAGAAATTAACAGTTTTCTAATGTGGGAAAACTGATAAAACAATCACTTCCTTTAACGGGAATTGAAGCGTCCTTTGTTTTTCCCTTATCTGTTACAAATCTCACCACACTGGGAATTGCAGACCCCTCATTTTTTCCCCTTTTCATCTGTTCACGTGAAAGAATCCAAACATGCTGATTGGTCGCAAATGAAGAGATATAGTCAGAGTTTAGCAGAATTCGAGGAGTACGTCAGGAGCTCTCTCAGAGGAGAGAAGCGTCCTATATTGTCTCCATAAGTAAAGGAGTGCGTCCATAGATCTGAAAGTGGAAAAAAGTCCACATATTTGCTCCCTAAGGCCAACACCCTTAGTTAGACGTATTTCCATGTAGTATCCTAAAGGCAAACGTCCATAGACATACTTTCGCCATGTTAAATGAGTTAAACATAGAAACATAGAAGATATATTTAATATTATGATTATCAAGACCTCTCCATGAACAGAAGTCGGAGAACTTTATAAATGAGGTACATTCGTCTAATACAGAAGAAGAAGAAGACAACAAAAATATTGTATTGAATATAATGAATTTGTGAGCTCTCTCTCTCTCGAAGCATATATTTGGATCATTCGTTTAGTTTTACTTTTAATTAAGTTTAATTTGTATTTTTATTTACTTTCTTTATTAAATAGTTAATCATTTATTATTATTAAAGAAATGTCATTGTTTCCATACCTCCACACGCAAATTAATCCGCATGATATAAATGTGATTAACTGGTGTCAGCATCCTGACTTGGATCTGAATCTCGCGATTTGGATCAGTTACAAAAGCCCTCCCGGTCAAATTCTTGACATAAGATCGGATCTCGTGATCCGAAACTTTGGAGAACTAGTTTCACCAACTAGCGCCGATTAAGTGGTACTAACTATCCTAGCGGAGTAGTACCCCCGGCTGATCTCACACTTACATACTTCTTCCAGCATCTATACCACTTGTCAAAGTAATCCTGGAAGCTGTTTTCTGTGATGTATTAAGTGGCTTTTGTCAATTGTTTATTGAAATTTGCATTATTCCATTATTATCTAAAAGCATTTTTATTATTTGCATTATTATCTAAAAGCATGTACAGTACAATACAATATTTAAATATGTAACAGAGTGCTTAAATGGAAGTTATATTAATAATATTGAAAAGTGTTATGATGATAAATGCAAAGAATTCAGCTACTGATGCATCAATTCTAAAATTCTTTCAAAAAATATATCTATTTTAAAATTTATTCTTTATGTCTATCTATCTTTGGACATGATTTAGTACAACTGCAATCTAGACTGTTTTATGATTTATATTTTTACACAATATTTTATGAGATGATTTTTTGCAATTAATCAGTTTTCTCTTATAGTGGAAATAGATGCTGTTTAGCAGATCTCCATTCTAGGTCAGATATTACAATCAATCAATCTTTATTATTTGACATAACAGGTGTTATTACAATGTTATTACATTGTTATTTTAAGTTTGATACATGAGTAAAGAAATTATATAATTTATACAAAGTTAGCATGGCAAAACTGTTACCAAATAAAATTTGGTAACAAAAATCAGATGGCAGTGTAGCAACTCGAACATCCAAAAGAATATTGTAAGAATCAAGGTGTTTTCTCATATCCATCACTATCATTCCACAAAAGAACATTCAGAGTCACATTAGACATTAATTATTTTACCATTTAAGTTTATCGAAAACCTATTTAATCTAAATTGTGCAGCAAATGACTTTATTTTGTAACTCAAATTAGACAATAAATAAGGCACTGGACTCCACACTCCATTAAGAAAAATTTCACTGTTGCAACCTCTTTCACTCAAATAATGAACATCTTTTAACCAATATAAGTCTTAGTCATTGATCACAGTCCAGAAAGAACAAACTTTCACTTAAATACATATAATAGAGGACAATCCAATATTATTTAGTAATCCTTTAGCAATAGCAGGCTATGGCTTCAAAAAAGAATTATCATTTATCTGTGAAAGTCTTGTATATATCAATTTCTGATAGTCATCTTCTGTTAGGTCAATAAGTTTCCTCCAAAATCTAAACAGTTTTATTGACAATTTAATAGCGAGGGGAGGTCTTCCTAATTCCATTCTCACTGCAGGTCCTAAGACAGATCTATTAATATGGAACACCTGCTTAAAATAGAATACAGTAACTATATTGGTTCAAATTTGTCTACTAAAAGACCGCTCCAAACCAGAAAAGCATAAAATATACTTGGTTCAATTAAAGAATCAAATAATCTAAAATAATTGTTTAATGAAGACGCTTTAATTTTAATAAGTAACTTGATGAGATTGGTGATTTTAGATCTTGCAGCAAGTAAACCTTTATTTAAATCAGCAATTCCCAACCTGGAGTACGCGATAGGTTGTTTAGGGGTACAGAAAAAAGTTAGTGATTATGGTAGAAAAAATAATATATTATGTATCAGAAATTAATAGTATTAAAAAATTATTAGGTAAAAAATGTTCCTTGCAACAATCACAAACTTTAATATACATTTCAAAATGCAAAAATAGAAATAAAAACTTATGCTATCAGTTGTACAATGCAACAGATCAATAAATGTTGTGCAGTCAGTCAATGGTAGTGGGGATACCATTGTGTGTGATTAGAGATTATGTTACAGACTTTTGATGGTGGGCTGTGTTACTGTTATTATTACCTCTCAACAATATCCCCATATGTTGTTTTAAAAAAGTATTTTTTATTGTTAGCAAGGAAAAGGACATAGCTAGTTTCTCCAGATTTTCTGTATGAGTGGTAATTTTTTTCATTATTTATTCACTATTTTTTATTGACAAGACTATGTCTTGTTTATAAAATCGTACTGCCTGCTGTGTTACCAGCGTACAGGTATGAAGGAGTACATGTCAAAAGTTGCAATTTGGCACAAAGAATTATTAATAGGTACCCAAATCATGCGTGCATAAAAAAAAAAAAAAAAAAAAAAAACAGACTTGTATGTACTCGGGACTGAGAACCAAGTCAAAATAAAATTCAAAATGGTGATACTCTCCACAAACAGGCAGTGTGAGATTTGCGCATGCATTGCTCGTTGGGAAGTTGGAAATGCCACGGGGGTATGCTAATGAAAAAAGGTTGGGAACCGCTGATTTAAATGATAGGAGAATGTGCCATGTGAAGAAAAATAAATACCTAGATATTTAAAATTTGTCACAATTTCCAGTTTATGATTTTCTAAACTGAATTTTTTTCTTTTTAAGTTTATCACCTCTACGAAAAATCATAAGCTTTGTCTTTTTCCAAATTAATAGTCAATTGGTTATCTTCACAATATTTCAAAGTAAGATTGAGTCTTTTCCTAAACAAAGAGACTGAATTAGCCAAGAGAAGGATATCGTCAGCATAAAGAAGACAGTCAATTTCAACATGGGACAACAATGCTATCATAGAACTTGGACCTCTCAGAAGGTTAGGAAGATAGTTCAAAAACAAAATAAAAAGGATAGGACTCTAGTAAAAGGTGGTTCTTCTTGAGGTAGCCCTCTATTGGATTCAACATAATCATTATAAAATGGAAAAGTCTCTATAAGATATCTAGTATTAAAAAAAAGACTCTTAAGTAAGTTGACAAACAATGCAGAAAGACCAATGCTCCTAAGCTTATACTATAACAAATTATGATTGTATCAAAAGCTTCCTTGAGATCAATAAAAGCAGTATATAGTTTCACTTGTTTCTTCAAAAGTGATATTTGAATAAGACCAGTCAAAATAAACAAATTGTATTTGATGCCTCTATTTTTAACAAATGCTCCTTGGAGATGTGTAACAATATTAAACTCATTCATCCATTTCTGGGGATGATTTGTCATAATAGTTGAAAAAACCTTTCTAAATACACTAATTAAAGCAATTGGTCTATAATTAGTTGACATCTGCCTACTTTCCCTCTTATAAATCATTCTTAAAGCAATTTGTTTCCAAGATAAAGGAAAAGAACAACTAGACCAAAATAAGTTAAACATATCCGATATATATCTAGTAGTATTTCTGTAGAAAGGTATTTTATCATTTCATTCCTTATATTACCAAGTCAGAAAGGCAATGGTCTGTGTGATTGCAGTGTAGAAGGTGATGACTCCCACTATCTAATCTTTACTTGTACTAAACATACTACTCATTGATCCCATCTGAGACAACTGGTGGAAAACGACGGGCACCACTGACCCTGCAATCTAAATACCTTAATCAGGAAAATCTACCATGCCTTTACAAACTTTGTACACAACCTTAAACTGCCAGCAGACCAACATAAGCAACTTGTAACTCCATATCCTCTTTGCTGTGTTACCCTACTGCTACTCAGCCTCTAATCAGCCTAATGTATTGTATCTTGTTTATCTATGGCATCATCAATCTTCTTTTTCTCATGTTCAACCATTGTAATTTATATATCCAGTGAAATAAGGTTACCATTGTAATATGTACAACCATTGCAAATTGTATAACCATTGTAATATGTTTAACCATTGTATTTCGTCTATCCATTTTAATATGTATAACCACTGAAACTTGTATACCCTTTTAACACGTATAACCATGGTCTATGATTATGTGTTAAAAGTTTATGTTTTATGTTACAACATATTTGCCTTGCAATAAGCATTACCCTGTGAATTGTTAGCATTATATATCGACATCTATCAGCTATTACTGTACCTTACCACCTTTCTCTTGGTTCCTGTTGTCATAGTGGTACTTGTAGATTGTCCCCACCAAACGGTAATTGTCACGTCTAACCCTCTTGCATGTATACTATCCACACACGGTCCCTTCTGCATCATTTGCATTCCTCCATTGGTTCCTGACAGATGCTCTGTGACCCTCCTTTCCTCCCTCTTTTCCTTCTCATTCCCACCCCATCTCATACTCTACTTAACCATATTTATCCCCCTTTCCTTCCCAAGGCTATACCTTTGAGTTAACCTTTCCTTTAACATCCTATTCTATATTATCAAGACTTGGGCCTTAGGTGGTTTTAATTTTCTGATTTACAGTTTCCAATTCACTCAAAGTGATAAGATCATCCAAAAGAGAAAGGAACATTATTACCAAAACTTAAATCAATATAAATTACTGGATTTGGTCCAGTGAAATACTCTTACAAATAATTCAACCAATTCGAGGGGAATATAGCATTTTTACATAGTTTCTTAATTCGAAATATATTAACTAGTGACCAAAAATCTCTAGTATTTTTTGCCTTCAATAATAATGAGTTTATTTTAGCCAAAAATGACTTTTTCTTTGCCTTACATAGCAGCTTGTAACTTTTATTTAATTTACAGTATTTGTCCAATAGATTTCTAGTTTTCTTTCCATGAAACATTCGTAGTACTCTGTTCTTTGTTTTCTTTAAACATAGACACTGAGGATCAAACCATTGCTTGTCAAATGATAATAAAGAATATTTTTCTTAACCATTTCACATCATAAAGCCAAAGCTAACAAAGTCTTTAATAGTTCATCATAGTAACTCTGCATATCCAACAGAAAGACTTCTTTAACCAAGGTATATAGCAGGGGTGGCCAACCTGCAGCTCACGAGCCACATGCGGCTCTTTGAAGGATTATTTGTGGCTCTCGATAAATGTACCTGAGTTCCTTTTTCATTTTTGTGTTATTATATTTTAAAAAATTATTATCGTTCCATATGTGTTTCAAAATGTCTTTTAAATTACTAACAACAAATATGAAAGACTAAGTGCAACGTTGTAACAAATTTCATTTCCGTCCAAATTAAGAATGATATGACTCATCGAAAACTGCGCGAACGAACATAAACAGTGGTGTAATCGTCCGTTATCGACCGATTTTGAATTTGTACACTGTCATTGCAACGGACAGTTGACATTGTGCTCTGGAGGAAACAATTTGTATCACTCTTGCTACGGATATAATTCGTAATCTGGAATTTTTTGCATACCTTTTTAATATGTATTTAATTGCGGCTTGCGAAAAATTTCAAATTTTGAAAAATGGCTCGGACTATCAAGGAGCTTGGCCACCCTAGGTATATAGCAAGCTGATCAAAGATAAATAGTCATCCGATCTTTCTTGTTTCCATATGTAATGAATTTTTGGAAGTTTCAGAGTCAATACACTATCTGTCATAAATTCAAATGATATTAAAATTGAAAAATGATCAGAATTGAAAATATCAAAAACTCTAAAATCCAGTAATCTGTCCAATAAATTTACATTTACCATTATTAGATCTATAACAGATAGATTGACTGTGGAAAGAAAAATAAATTTAGCTGGATAGTCTGAGGCACATCGACTGTCTAAAATACATAATCTGTACGACTTAATCAATTGTAAAAAACTTTTTCCTCTTTAGTTCAATATTAAATCATTAGATCTTTGGGGATTTAAAACATTACTATTACTTCCAACATGAAAATTATCCAGTTCTTTGCGTATTCTAGCATTCACGTCTCACAAAATAACTATATCATCCTCAGAGAAATTCCTCAACAAGTTTTTTTTTCTTTAATGGTACATCATAAAGATCTATTCTCAAATAAACAAGAACAATTATCAAACTATAACTAAGTGAACAAAAAATTTTCCTATAATTAAATCTAATCACTATTAGATTGTTGGAGTTAAACAACATTTCTGAAGAACCTAATTTTTGGGAAACTGCAAGAATGAGACTGCCATATGGATGACCGGGACCAGTTGGTTTTCTAGCAAGTTGTTCATATAAAAACAAATCTGGGTTCAACAAAGAAAGAACCCATTTATAAGAGTTAGTTAATCAAGTCTCAGTAAAAGAAACTAAATCATAATTTTGCCATAAATATATAAACTCTTGGTCATTCACTGTCAAATCCACATTCCTTAACAGTTCGAAGACAATATTCTCATTACTAAAGTTTTATTTCTCTCTTTAGCAATTGTTCCACTTAGCCCTTCTGGCTGGATTTGTCTAAAGAAGTATCAAACTTCTGTAATTCATTTGTTTCTAAATTGAAAGTGAATTTGTCACCATCGGCCATCAGGCAATCAACTTTCATAAATACTTTTTTATTCAGAGATTTAGCTTCTGCAAAGAAAGGCAACAATTTTCTATGCATAAATCTTGATCTATATGACAAATTATCAAAGGCTCTAATGCATAAGTAGGACGGCAATGCCTGAATTTTCTTTAAATTTTAAAAAATAACTCTTTTGTCATCTTGAGTATAGAGCTCAAACAATATAAACCAAGTTTCCGATATTCTATAACTATTAATAAAAGGAATAGACTCCCCGTTTTGTCTTTTAAACAATTCAATAAAGCTATTAGCATTATTGGTTAATTCTTTGTCATTACCACTCAAACTGGAAATGATAATATTATTTTTCTTCAAATCATTGTATACAGAGTCTATGTAATAATTCTGAAGAGAGAATTTATCCATACATACAGTTTTAAAAGACAAAAGTTTGGTAATTTCTCTTTCCAGGCAAGATAGACGTTCATTGTACTCCTTCTGTAAATTAGACAACCAGTGAAATTTCAATGACAATTCTTCCAGTTTTGATAAAATAGTATCAAAACATTCTTCGAAAAAAACAGAATCTTCTGAGGTAGTTGAGAAGGAATATCCTGCGATGCAAAATAGTCATCCAGTCGAGATGATTTCAATGTTGGTTTTCTTGGAGATCAACGACACCTACCAGCAGAAGTTGAAGCTTTATTGTAAGGTGAAGAAGGTGATGTTTGAAATATTGGACCTGGATTAAGTTCAACTCCTCCAATAACAACCAAAAAGAACAAAATTAAAAAAGTATCACAGTAGAAAAAGACATCCTCAGTAAAGTCAATTAATAGCAAACAGTTGAATTGTAGTTCGTAATAGCAAGTCGTAGAAAAACACACCAACAGAAAGCACTGTCAAAAGCACCCCTCATATTACTAAAAGATCAATTTTGGCTTTATTTTTTCCTTAGACTATAATGGCATGAGTGGTTGTACTAAGAATTAATGTTGTTTAGTTTAAACTTCTCACTTACTACTATAAGATTTTGTTCTGTTTGACGTTCTTTTGAAAAATGTTATCAGTCTTAATCAATATATCTTTGATTATGACAATTTTGAGTTAAGTTAAAGAATGAATTTTGTCACAGATGTAAAAAAAATTTTAATGATGGTAACAGTGATATTGTATTTTTTACTGTTGCTAGTAATATTTAATTTTATATTCAAAATGATTCAATAATTAAACATATAAATGAGATAGATGGCACCAAGCATTGTAATATCATTTTTCCAATATGTAAATAGAAAGACCAAAGCTAAAAGATGAATGTAGTAAATTTAAAAACATGAATGTAGAAAAAAATAATGTTTATTTTGATATTAAATAGCTGAACATGCAACTTATAGGCATTCATAAATGATTTAATTATTAAAGAAGCTCTTATATCTGAAATGCTGATTATATATTGCATATGAAATATTCAAATATCGATTAATTTTATCTACATCAATTACAATAATTCTTATTACTATTTTATTTAGTATTTGTTAAGCAATTTAATAACATTAATAGGTGTTGCATCAACATTCAATTAATCTTCCCTTAATTGTTTACATAAAGGATAATGACATATATAATGAAATAAAGGTATTCAACTTTTAAATGTGATAATTATTGATTCCATTAAAGATATTTGTATAGTTTTAATAGAAATTTAGAATAAATAATTTTAATGGTTGAAAAATATATAGGTCTATTATATAAATTTAACAGAAAAATATGTATAGTATGATCTTACTGAACAGATTGATATTTAAAGTGTTTATCAAAATATTATTAAATGATAATTACTTTGAAAATTTGTAAAAACAAATTAGAAAAATGACTACAAATAAGCAGAAAACAGCATAGAAAGTTTTTCTTTTAAATTAAAAATTAAATGTGAATTTTAAACTGTCTACTACTACAGTTAGTAATTTGGTCATTTAACTAATAGTTAGATTTAAAAGATATTGAAGCAATTAGTCATAAAAATATAAAATTTTAAATTCTTTATATTATTAGTATTTATTTTTTTTGCATTTTATAGTAAACAGTAAACATTGACAACTATCATTAAATTAATATTTTTAGATGATGATGATAGTAAACAAAAGAAGAAGAAGAAAAAGAAAGGAGAAGAAGAAAAGAAAGACAAAAAGAGACCTGGTAAAAAACAGGTATTAAGGTTTATAAATTTATTTAAATTAAATCACTTACTATTGAAAACTGTTCTTTATTAATAATAATAATAATAATAATAATTGATTTTTTTGAAAGATGAAATTTTAAATATAAAATATTGTATTTTTGTTTTAGATTTTAGCAATGCAAGAAGCATTGAAAAAGTTAAAAGAGGAAGAAGAAAGGATTAAATTAGAAGAAGAAGCTAAACAACGTGCAGCTGAAGAAGCTGAACGAAAACGACAAGAACAGGTAAAATGTTTTTATACTTTTAGTAAGAAATTTTAACATCAAAGATTTTATTCAAGAAACGTAGTTTGTAAGAATTATTATAATAATTGAAACAGTTATTTTTATAAAACATTTGGATTTGAATTTTTTTAACATGTTTGACTCAAGCACATTTTATATATTGAGCAATTTTTGTATTTTAAACTTTTGTATGTTTATCTGAATCTTTTATATTAAAAAATTCTATTTTTAACAATATGTATAATTTCTACATGTATGACTCAGTGATCTTTTAAGACTTCTTCCTAACATTTATTGAAAGAGGGAAAAAATTAATAAATTTATTGATCAATATTTTTTGTAGTTGAGACTTGAACAAGAAAGAAAAGAAAGAAAAAAACAGAAAGAAAAAGAAAAAAGAGAAAGATTAAAAGCTGAAGGTAAAATACTGACAAAATCACAAAAACAATCTCGTGCTCGTATGGAAGCAACTTTAACTGCTCTTCGTATGCAAGGTTTGTATTTTATATAAATTTAACATTTTATAAAAATCTGAAATGTCTATTTACTTGTAAATGTTTGTATTACAGGAATAGAAGTTCCTCAGATAGGTGAGAAAAGAGAACGAGCACCACGTCTTGGAGATAAGAAGAAATCCTTAAAGAAGAAGCCAGCAGAAGCACAGCCAGAACAAAGCAAGTTTTTAAAAATAATGCTTATAAGTTTTGATTTTATATATATTAATTAGTAAATTTTGATTTTTGTAGATTATCCATTTTCCTTTTCTTATAACATTAACTTGACATAATGAAATGTTGTACAGTATACCCCAAGTTATGTAACACATGACTTATGTAAATTCGCAGTTACGTAAAATGTAAATCTCAAAAATTGGAAAAAATCTGAGTAGAGTAACATGTAATTTTACAAAGAATTATTCTGTTTCAAACATTCATTCTCTCTCTCTCTCTCTCTCTCCCTTCCATTTTTTCTTTCACACTGTACTGATTTATTACTTTATTGCTCTGCTAATCCTTTACTTTTTGGTCTAATTGTAAGCACATAAACAAGCTTTCTCATAAACAAGATTCTTATACAGTACTCAGTGAAGGTTGAGCAGCAAAACTAAGCACATTTTCAGTGCTTGTTTTTCTATATGTATTATTTCACGTCATTAGTTTACAGTAGCTTGCCACGAGTGATTTGTTTAATACATAACCTATTAATATTTCAGATTATTTTTGTTTCTTTCTTTGTTTTTTTATATATACTTTGTATTTTTATTGTTCTTTTATACAAAAAAATAAGTTACAAATTCAACTAATGTAAAATTTGAATTATGTAAAGATCTATGGTCCACATTACTTATGTAACTTGGAGTATTACTGTATTCAAGCAACATTAAATTTATTTTTTTTTATTGCTGCACATTTAATTTTGCAGCAATAATTATGCTTAATTATGATAGATGCTTAGAATAATAATAGATAGAAAATGTAATTTATTTTTCACATGTATTCTATTATGATACATTTAATTTTAGGTTAATATACTATTTTTAATGCAGCCATTCTTATATTGTATACTTAAGATGTCAACACAAAACTGCTAATAGTTGAAAATATAAATATTTAAAAATTTTGTGTTTTATTAAATATAATTTAATACATTTTTCTTAATTTTCAAGTTTAACATTTCAACTTTGGTTTAACATTTATGATAAATTCACTCACAAAAGTAAATTTTAATTGAAAAATAATTTTTATTTATGTTAGAAAGTGCAATAATAAAAGCTTTTAGGTAAAACATTTATAGATTTTTTTATATGTACTTTTATAAGCAAAACTAACATTTATTATTAGGTGAATTATCATTTGCAATTAGATTTTCTTTATATCTCTAGAATAAAACTAGTTTTCTAATTTTATATATAACTAGCAAAGAATGCCCATCATTGTCCAGAAACTCAGGGAGAGGGTTGAGTTATTCTTCTTATAGGGTAGCATATGCTCCTGCAGGATGGCAGAGAGTAACTATGCCAATTTTGTCCAGATTGCTCAAAAAGTTTGGGAGTAAGGGAATGAAATCAGAGAGAAGGAGTTAGGAATCTGAGTTTTATGGTAGTCTATGTTTCCTTAGGGTATCAAAGAATAACTATGAGAAATTTAGTCCAGATCAGTTAAAGTTTGGGTTTGTAAAGAAGATGAAATCAGCAGGAAGGAATGAGGGATATGACTTTTAAGGTAGCTTGCTTACTGTACATTGGAAAGTAGTAAGCTTTCCAATGGCCCCTTGACACTGATGTATTTTGTGACAATTGTGGTTTTCTTTTAGGCATTTTATCATTGGTAAGACTCACTTGCACATGTGTACACCTGAAAAGTAACATTCAGGTGCACATGTGTACACCTGAAAAGGAACTCAGTTTATATAGATATCTGATAACATAAGACTAATTCTTATTTTTAAGTAATGGTAAGGTAGGATTAATACTAAAACTGAACAGATGAAAAATACTATAAGCCTACTTACAAAAGTTTAGTTTTTATATAAGGGAAGTAAATTTGCTCTTTATAGTTATAAGTATCTGATAACATAAGAGAATTATTATAAGAAATGAAAGACCAAGACAATATAAACAAAACAGATACTAATCAAAACTGAAACTGAAAATATCAGATAAGAAAGTTTTAAAAAGTTCACCAGATGTCATGGGAATTGACTGTGAATGGAGCAGCAAATGACAATGCAAGACAAATATTATTATACAAACATTATTCTTGTGCATTTCCTTTTTTAGTATGAAAATAGTATGTGGCCTGTGATCATCTGTAAGGAATAAGCTTTCCAAAAGTAAAGTAATTTTAAAAAGTCAGTTTAGTAGATTCTGAGATTACTTCTAGCAAATAAACATTCTTACTCTATATCAGGGGTGTCCAGCCCGCGGGCCGCATGCGGCCCAAGGCAAGTTCCAATGCGGCCCAATAAACGTGTAAACAAAATCGACAAATGTTTTAATATTTTTATTATTTATTTATTTCAACGGCATAAACTCAAAAAAACAAGTTTCACAAAGCTGTTAACATTTATTCATATTTTATTTTTGATTGAAAAGAAAATATTTTCAAATACTTGAATACTTGGAGATGTGTGAATGAGGAAGAATTACTAAATAAAGCTGGAGTTGTGACTCGAAGGATTATAGACCCGAATTTGGGAAAAGGAGAGAAAGGACAAAAGATAAAAAGTAGTGAGAAAGGTTAAATAGATCTTCTGTTATGCAAATATTGACCATTAATTTTCAAATCTTTTTCTTTTTCTCACTTCTTTATCTTTTGTTGTTTCTCTCCTTTTCCCTTTATAATCCTTTGAGTCACAACTCCAGCTTTATTTAGTATTTTTTTCCATCGTTGCAAGATTTGGCTACATTGCGCCAAATGTGGCTACTTTTTTTAGTTTGACGTAAAAAATATCATTTGGCGCTTTGGCTATTTTTTGGGGTACATATTATTTATAAATATATTAGTTGAATAAAAATGCACTTTAAAATAGTGTTTCGTCGCTTTTTATTAATTAGAGATCCAAATAAAATAAATATTTGTGTTTTTCAAATAAATTTTCGTTTGTCTCTTTTATAATAAATGAATTTATCCATTTCTAAGTAAAAATTGAAAGTGTCTGTAAAAGTAATTTTTTAAAATATCCCTTTTCGTGATAAAGTTTTATTACTTATTATTACAATCTAGACGTGTTAATCCTTAAATATACTTGTATATTGGGCCAGAAGTATATATAATATATACTTGTGGCCCAAAACTCCTTGACTTCTTCCAATGCGGCCCAGAGAAACAAAAAGGTTGGACATCCCTGCTCTATATATTAGTTTAGATATAGATTAGAAAAAGACTAAACTTTTATAACATGTAGTTATTTTTTAATAAAGTAAAGTAAATCAGTTTATAATTGTATTCAAATAATCAGCCAAGAAAATTTGATATTTGAAATCTGTTTATTTCAGATTTATTAATTTATTTTGAAATAAATATTTTCACAATGAATCAATTATTAAAAATTTGTGTAATTATATTTTTCAATAAAAATTATAAATGCAGTAATTGAAAATTTAAAAAAATAATGAACATGTAATAGAACATCAAAACTTATAAAATTAAAAAAAGTAAAAATTCTCTAAAAAGCAAAATAAAATTACTACTGTGTAAAAATTTTAGAACTTTCCATTCAGAATTAAAGAAATCTTTTCCTTACACATCACAAACAGTGAATTCCATACTTCACACCTTTATGTGAATTAGCAGTATTGAAACAATTCATATAAAGGTAAAATTTCAAATTCACAGAAACTTGTAAATGAGGAGAAGGTACTTAAAACTAATAAATAAACAACTTTTAATATCAAGAGGAAACAAATGACAATTGATCTGACCACCTGTTTTGCATATTATCTTGATGAATTTATTGTTTTACCTTCAGTGGTAGTTTCAAGGACAGTAGTAGAAATAAAATATATTTTATTGCAAATAGAAATTCAATTGCAATTGGTAATTTAAAATTTATTGACTCAAGTGCTTTTAAAATTTGGAGGACCAAAAAAGTGTAATATATCCGAATCCACGATATAACGAGTGGCTACATTACAGTATACACAGAAATTTTTAAAATGTATTTAACCATAACAGAATAAAAAGAAAAACAACTTTTACTGCTATTTTGCTGTTTTACTCACTTTTTCTGTATTTCACCTCACTTTTCTAACTGTTTCAGAGGGAAAAATGACACTCTGAGGCCTGAATTTACAATTAGGCATAAAAATTACATTTAAATCTGATTTATTTAATACGTATAATTTGTTTATCAACAGATCAGCAAATACTTTATTTTCTATATTATTATTATTTTTTTTTTTATATAAACTACAAAATTTTTGTTAAAATTAATGTGGAAGCATCACTTGAGACTGATAAAGTTCATCAGAAATTTGTTTGTTACTTGGAGGTCTGCATTACTGTTTCAAATGATTTTTACATACAGCTATATACAGGAAATCTTTAATGGTACTGTCCTACATATACTTTTCTTTAGGAGATCCTTTTAAATACAAAACTGCTACCTTTAGATCATTGTTCAGAAGAGCCTTTGCCTATTCCTTAAAAATAGAAGACATAGAATGAGCTCAGTGCCATAAGGGAAATAGCAATGGCATTTGGGTATCCATCCAAACTTGTTATTAAAAATCTGATAATGGATGTGAGACATAAACTTTGAAAATCACCCACATATATTCACTTTTCAAGTAATTAAGTATCAAAAAAGTCAATAATAAGGAATCTCAGCTTGGCCCTAGTCCTGTTTGTAGTATTTTTTAAATATTTTACTGGTTATTTAAGGTTGAGAGTGTAGTGTATATTATACCAGTACCTATTTATGAAGGTTGAACGTATTTGAAGCTATGCCGGCTAAAGTCAATAATACTCCACCAGACTTCTGAGGAAACACTTTGAGGGGCAGGATGTAAGACTGAAGACAATCCATATACATGCCATTTTCAGCCTAATGAGAAAAGACAGTATTCCATATGATCTAGAAACTAGATTATATAACATTCAAGTGACCCTGAATGACAATGGTAAGTTCTGATATTCAGCTAGCACTTTATGCACATTATGTGCTATACAAGTAGAGCACAAGGCCTTATAAAGGACTAAGTGTCTACAGCTATCACTGAGAAACTACTACTGAATAAAATCAGTGACACCAAACTGGAGTGATACCACAATTATTTTTCCAAATTCCAAGCATCTCTCATGTCTGCAGGGCAGAAATGTTGATTACAGCCACTATGTAGAAACTGGTACTAAAGAGAAAAGAGGATAAAATGCTTAAGCAGAAGATTGAAAGGAGGAGATTTCAAGTGAAGTATTTCAAATGAGTTAATAAGTTAATAGATTAGCCCAGATAACCAAACAGAAATTGTCCTTTTTTGGTCATATAATGAGAACCAGCTCCCTTGAGAAGGTGTTTATGCTGGGGATAGTTAGCAGGAAAAGAGTGCAAGGTCCATCTAAGGACTAGGTGACTCGACACAATCAAAAGTGACACTGAATTTTCTATAAGGAGGCTGTGCAGGAAAGAGAGGCATGGAGAGCTTTGATCCATAGAGTGATCGAGATTCAGACATGACTAAATGGAAAAGATAGGATAAATACACTATATCATATATTTGATTATTTATGCTTTTGAATAAGAAGTAATTTATTTCTTTATTTTTTTCCTGCTATGGCAGTTTTCTTTTTTTGTATTTTATTTTAATTTTTAAATATAGTGTCCACAAATGTAAAAACTGATAACTTAATTCAATTTTTGTAAAATGTGAAATTTTGATTTTGAAAATAATTCTGGAACATTGTTCCTAATCTTATATGCAATCGGTCTGAAGATGGAACATAATGGTTTCAAAAAACATTTAACTGAATAAAGAATTTTTTGTGGACCTCTTGATAAAATTTATTAATGAGTTTATTTACTTTAAGTTTTTTAAGTATTATTATTATTGTGAAAACCTTTTGTATGTCATTGTACAATTTAATTATTTAAAGTTTCATTAAAATTTTTTATAGTTAACTTTTTTTTTATTAGCTATAAAGATTTTACTATATTATATTATTCTTTAAATGTAATAGAAATAATAATTTTTAACAGAGGAAGTTACAACCCCAGAAGAAACTTCATTGCCACAAGTGGAAGTTGAAATAGTAAGTCAAAAAGAAAATAAAATCAAAGAAGAAAGCATTCCAGAAGAAAAAATTAAAGAATCTTGGGAAGATAAAGATGATGTGAAAGATGCTTGGGATGAAACATCAGAAGAGGAAGAAGATGATGAAGAAGAAGGAGAAAAAGAAACGCAGCCTCAAGCTAAAGATAAAATTTCTCAAGAAATTGTTGTTAAAAAAGAGGAAAGTGAAGAAAGTGATGACGACGACGACGACGATGATGATGGCGAAAGAGATGATGAAGATGAAGATGAAACTTCTGAAGAAAGTGATGATGACAGAAATAAACAAGAAAAAATAAAAGAGAGAGTCCAGGAACGAATTCAGGTATTTTTAGTTGTTACATTTTAAACATGTAATTTTGTATTTGTTCAATGAATAATAATTTTTCTTGAAATGGAATAGAAAATTTTTTAATCTTAATTATAACATTAAGAAGTTTTTATATTTCTGGCTTATAGTTATTAACTGATTAATTGATATTAAATAATTTTTATTGAATAACAAATTAATATCAGTTAAATAACAGATATTAATCTGTTATTTAATAAAAAAATTTCTTCCTACAACTAAATCAAATTTTTTATTGTAATATAGAATATTTTTCAAAATGAAACTTAAGAATAATACCAATCTTTTAAACAAAGAGTGAAAAAGATTATCATGATGATAACAATATTATTTGTAATAGATAATAAATTATTATAAATAAAATATCACAATAATTAACGTTTTGGTTCTTAAAAAATATTTGCTTACTATAATTTTGAATGGATAACCCACAGCAGATTATAACCTGTAACACTGTATACCCAACAGAAAATTGCAAAAATGAAAATGAAATCTTCATATAACCTTCCCTACCATTTTTGGAGCAGCTGTTGAAGGCAAGATAATTACCTGTATACTGTTTACAAATTGCTATCTCAAGCATTAAAATATTGCTTTTTCTGTTTCATTTCTGTTAACAAATCACTATAGATATATATAAACAACCATGCTGAAATATTATGTAATAATCATATTAATTTCTGAATTATTCACTCTATTAATAATAGAGCAATGTCAAGCATGGAGGTAGGAGTATCGGGAAGGCTATTTCAAGACATTAAGAAGGTCACAGAAAGGGAAATATTCGTTAACCACTGCATAATTCACCAGGAAAATTTGTGTGTGAAAAGATTGAGTTTGCCAAATGTCACAGTACCAATAATTAAACTAATCAATTTTATAAAGTCGCGCGTGTTAAATCACCATGAATTTAAAGAATTCCTGAAAGATTTAGAAACTGAATATGGCAACGTGGCTTTTAATACTGAAGTACGTTGGCTTAGTAGAGGTGGAATGCTAAAAAGAGTATACAACTTAAAAAGCGAAATACAATTGATTTTGGATATGAAGGGATATGCCTTTCCTCATTTTGGTAATAAAAAATGGATGTGCGATTTTGGGTTTTTATCGACATGACTCAGCATCTCAATGATCTTAATGTGGAACTTCAAGGCAAAGGACAGTTTATTCACAATTTGTATGATAAAATTCAGGGCTTTGAGTGCAAATTAAAATTGTGAAAACAGCATCTTTTGCAGAATAATGTCTCTCACTTTCCACATTTAGAAAAAGAAAACGTTACTACTTCTCAAAAATACACAGAATATATAGATATTTTAATTAATGAATTTCAATTACGATTCCAAATGTTCGAAGCTGAGAAGACAGCAGTTTCCATGAAAATGTTTTCCTCGCCATTTAATATCGATGTGGATACAGTTCCCGAAGACTTTCAAATGGAAGTAATTGACATGCAGGATAATACCGATTTAAAAAATGTATTTTTCTCAGTAAACATCGAAAATATTTATAAATCTTATGTGAGCCCTGAGAAATTTTCGCTTTTGACAAAAAATGCAAAGCAAATGATGTCTCTGTTCGGAAGTACGTATGTTTGCGAACAATTATTTTCAACCATGAAATTAAAAGAAAAGTGACCACCGATCAAGACTGAGTGATGCACGATTAGAAAGCTACGTACGTGTAGCTACCTCATCAATTCCAGCTGATATTGATCAGCTTGTATCGAAAAAACAGTGTCAAATTTCTCATTAAAAATTTCAAGTAAATTCGTTTTTCTGTTCTTTTTTGGTNTAATTTCAAATAATAACAAAATCAAATTTAAAAAAAAACTAAAAATGGCATTACATTTTTTTTTGCTTTATTTTTTAAACTTTAATGTAGAAATTCATTTTGCATTAATTAAACTAATATTTGTGTAAAATTTAAATTATTAAATAACTTTCAAATGAGCATGTGTTAGCAAAGACAATAGCTTAGTACAGTGGTGTATACAAACAAGTGCATGCTTATGTATTGTCTTCATTAACATTTATTTGAAAACTCCTTATGTTTATGGTACAGTACTTGGCCTTAATAGTGGAGTGGCTACTGACAAATCTCTTCGAAATACTGATAAATTCATTCCTGTACCCACTGGTTATCTCTAATTCAATTGCAGGTGCTTATGAACTGTTCTAATTATGTAAATTAGGTGTAAAAATAAATAAATACAATTTATTGTTTTTACTTTTATGACTAATTTTCTTTGTCCAGTAATAACAATAAAATAAACTCAATATAATTAACAGAAAATAATTTTATTACTGATAGTAAAATTATTTCTTAAAATTTCTCAATTGCAAGTATTTATTAAATTAAAAATTAAAATTAAATCATAATCTATTGAATAAGGCATGGTTGTAAAAATGTGGGAAGTATAATTAAACATACAGAATTATTTCTCACAAACATGAATAGTAAAATAGTAATTTTTGATCCTTTGGATTGGTTGTCTGCCTCTGGCCAGTTCTGTAATGTGAATCAACTTTAACTCTTGATTGGAATTTAAAATTGGCATATAATTTGCACCACCTGTCAAATTATTTTTCAAACTATTTAAGGTGGCTAACCTGCAGGTTAGCCACCTTAAATTGTAGTACTTTTACTTTCCCTTACTGGGAAAGTAAAAGTACTACAATGAAGGGAAAGTATGGCAATCAGGCAAAAAATTATTCTCCCAGATTTTTATATTTTTGGACTTAGGACACCTTGAAACATTGAGAAATGCAAAAAAAAATCCAGGGAGTAATTTCTGTATGTATGGATGTTTTGTTTGTTTGTTTGTGTGTGTGTGTGAAGAGCACGATTTTGTTCACCCTCTTTGAAGCTTAATAACTTCTGTTGAGAAGGTGGGGAGATAAAGGGGATTGTGTGCATCTCGAGTATGCTTAGAGTTAATGATTATTTTACTCATTATTAGCATTTACAATTTTTGTATAAAACTCATCTCTATATTCAAAATTAAGCTTTTTGCCCATTTTATAATAGTTAAAAATATAAAAAGTTTTCGTAATAAAATATGGTAACAAATGGCACCGTCAAATTTTAAATATTGTCAGAAAGGTTGATTAACTTGCTGGTTTATTATAGATTTATTGTGTCTTAGTTTTTAACTACAGGGTCTTCATAGTCTGTGTCATATTTTATAATAAAATATCTAAATATTAATAGTTAATCCAGCTCTACCATTTGATTATTGGGTTAGAACTTAATAGGATTTTGTATAATTAATTAGCCATCATTTGATTATTAGTATAATTTGAACTAGATATTTAAAAAATAATTACATAAATATAAATCATGCCAGGCTAAGAGCATAAGTTGACTGAGTGCCATGGATGGCCATGGGTTTTCCATGACATTCAGTACAGCAAGTGGCCTGTATAGTTAAATTTGATAAATTAATTGGTCTGGAAACAAAGATCAAACAGAAATCTAAGAAGCATAGTTGGCAATCCATTTGTATAGTAAGCAGAAGTTGCAGATTTAAGTTCCACTCTTTATGAATCTTTTCTTCTAGAATAGTCTAAATTAATTATTTTTCTAATTATTAAATTTAATACCTGATGGTAGCATAGTTGCCTACATTTTAGTTGAAACTACATAATATCTGTATAATTTGATTAGCCAAGTTATACAGATATTATGTAGTTAATTTGATTCTATCGTTTGATTATTAATGTAATTTGGGCTTAGTTTTTGTTAGAACAATGATGAGTCAGTCCTTTAACTTAGAATTAAACTTTATTCTAATCTAAGACTATACATGCACTTGTTCACATGTCCATAATTTGTCACACATCTAAACAATAGGTCTCTTCTTGTTTTGAGCGGTCTTACACGGATGTTTCCAGTTATTACACTGTTTGTGATATCGACACTTGCTTTAATTTAGTATTCCCTAACTATCCCCCCTTGAAGAAGATACTCTAGCTTTAGTAGTGGTCTCTTCACTAGTTATGCATTTACAGTGGATCAGAAGTGTTGCTCTTAGTATCTGTGTACTCTAGTCATATTGTTGTGTCGGTGATGTTTTCCTTAACTTTGCAGATCCACTTGCATTTGATAGTTGTTGCCCTTTCTGACAGTTCTGTTAAGTTCAAATACCTTATGTTTTCTCAGGGATTCTATTTTTTTCTCCATGGCAGCCTGCCATCTGGCTGAGTCATTTGATTCCATGACTTCTTTATATGTCAAAGGCTCTACATTGTCCTTGACTATCTTTTCGCCAATTGTGGCAGGTTCTTCTATGGTTTTCACTCTATACTCCTTTCTGGGTCTCTCTCTGTCCTGTTCGAGCAATTCGTGGCCTCCCACTTGCTCTTACCTGTTCATTATTCTGTTCTCTTTCACTTTTGTTTGTTTCATTTTCAGATGAAGTATTTTGTTTGAGTTGTAATTGTTCCTTAGTGGGTTCAAGGATATCTAATTCCACTTCTTTATTATTGAATCTTTCTCTTCCATGGGATCTGTCATTTTCAGTCATTTCGATATTATCCTTTGAATTGTTTGGGAATTTGTTGATAAATTTGACATCTCTGCTTGTTATAACTCTTTTTGTCTTTATGTTCCATAGATGATATGCTTTTGTTTCACTAGAATAGGCTATAAATATGCATTTGGTGGATTTCTCATGGAATTTTCCTTTTCCTGGTTTCTTTTCTAATGCAAATGTCATTTGACCAAATGTCCTAAAATATTTGATTGTTGGCATTCTACTGGTCCATAATTTGAAGGGTATGTCACCTTCCAGGCTCTTTGATGGACATCTATTTCTAATATATGATGTGGTATATACAGCCTCTGCCCAAAAGCATTTTCTCAATCCTGCTTGGAGTAGCATGCATCTTCCCATTTTCACTAGTGTTCTATTTCTTCTCTCTGCGATGCCATTTTGTTGTGGTGTGTAGCAGGTTGTTTTCTCATGTCTTTATGTTTCAGGAAGTTCTGAAATTTTCTATTAGTATACTCGGTTCTGTTGTCACTTCTTATTGCCTTTATCTTTCTTCCTGTTTTATTTTCTACAAAGGCTAGGTATGTTTTGAATTTCTCGACAGCTTCACTATTAATTAATAATAATAAACAATACTTTTAGCCCTTGACTTTAATTTAGATAGAGTTAGATAGCCTAATAAATAGAATTTTAACAATTTGGAGTGCTTATTACACCAAGGCCAACAGAAAAAAAAGACCAGATCTTTTACAAAAAAGGATCTTTTAATAATCATCTTCAAGTTTAGGTAAGGCTGCATTTCAGGTACAAGGACCCCCTTGTCAGCTTACAAACACATAGTACTAACATATAATTATAACACTATAATAGTTAACCAGTACAAAGGAATTTTTGATATATATAGTGCAGACTAACTATTTGTAAAAGATATGGTCTTTTTTCTGTCGGTCTTAGTGTGATAAGCCCTCCAAATTGTTAAATCTTATTCATTAGGCTATCTAACTCTATCTAAATTAAGCTTTACTTTTGTTTTTTGTAAAATATATTTCACACCATCTAGAGTGATCATCAATAAATGTGATGAAATATTTTACTCCACTCAATGATTTGGTTCTCATCGGTCCACAAATGTCAGTATGAATCAGTTTTAATATTTTTTTGCATATATCTGCATATATTTTCGTTTTGCTTTGGAAATGGTGATCTGGTTTGCTTCCCTCTTATGCAGATTTCACAGAGATCAAGTTCTTCTTTTCATCGTATATTTAGTCCTCTGATCTTTAGGTTGTTGGCCATGTGTCATACATCCTTTTGTTTAAGTGACCTAAATGTTTGTGCCACATTTTCATTTTGTTAACATTTGTTCGAGAGAGTTTAGATTCCTCCCACTTTCTTTCACATAGTATAGACCTCCTCCTTTAAATGCTCTCATGTGTATGCTTTTGGTTTTCGAATCCATAATAGTTGCCTGATTCTTTCGGAATAGTACACTGAATCCATGATCAGTTATCATCTCAACTGACAGTAGGTTGGTCCTTAGTTCTGGTACAAGGAGTGTGTTCTCCAATTTGGCTTGAAATCTGCCTTTTGTTTCAATTATTACATCACCACTTATTTTGATTTCTGTTGTAGATGAGTTGGCCAGTTTAATTCACTTGTGTGGGATGTTTCAATGTTAGAAAATCTTGCTTTATCATTGCACATGTATGATGAAGCACCTGAGTCTAGACACCATTTAAGATTTTCTTTCCCTTCATTTGCCATAATATTAGCATTATATGACTCCTGTTTTTGAGTTGTTAGGCTTGTAGTCATAGCTCTATGTGGTTTTCACTTGTTTCTGTTTCAGCATTCTCTTACCTTATGGCCTATCTTTCTACACTTATGGAATTTGGATGGCCCCTTATTTTCCAACTGTTTCATCTGTTGTTTGCTTATATACAGCACACCCAAATTCTTCGAGCCATCGGTATTGCCATTTCGTTTTCACACCTCAAACTCTTCTATTAGCTTTATCTTGAGTGTGCCCAGCAAAAGAAGTTTCTCTTGTGTTTTGATAGCAATTCAAAATTGTTCGAACTAGTCTGGTATACTATAAAGCAGTAGTACTGTTAAAAGTTCTTTGTTTATGGAGATTTCCATTTCTTTTAACTTACCTACTATATTGAAAAAGCCACTTATATGATCTGTCATGTTGTCTCCTTTCCTCATTTTCTTGAGAATTAATTTCTTTAGTAGTATGGCCTTTCTTGCAGGATTTTTTGGTTCAAAAACTTCATGTAGTTTATTTCATATTTTATGTGAGGTTTCACATCCTTTTGTCTGTTTTTTTTGCTCTTTTGTCTGTAATTTTGTTGGGCTATGACAAGAATTATATCACACATTGCCTTCTAGTCTACTGTGTCCCATTGTTCTCCTGCTTTCGTTGTGCTTTCATCTCCAAGTATAATTTCTGGTTTTGTTCTTTTTCCACTGATGTATTCTCACGAATTGTTTTTGATCAGGAGTGCCTTCATTTGTATCTTCCATGTATCAAAGATTTTTTTACACAGTGATTCTATCCATATAGCTAGTTGACCAGCCATTTTTCTTTTATAGGCTTCTTTTGCAATTCCATTTCCTTTTAATTTCTGTAATTCTAGTCTTCAATATTTAATTTTCTGTTCCTGGGTCCATAACTATTTTTAGAACAATGATGAGGCAGTCCTTTAACTTAGAATTAATTTAATATAAGACTATAGATGCACTTGTTCACATATCTATAACTTGGTGCATAACTGAACAACAGGGGCTGTATTCTGGTCATTGTCTCTCATCTCTCACAAATCATTTGCTGATTGGCTAATCATTTGTTTACATCTTGAGAGATCATCGCATCTCTCCAAACACGATTCTGGACAACTTTTTCTCTCGAAGATGCTCTCTTTTCTCAGAGACAAGCGTATAGTTGTCTTTTGTCGACCTGTCTTTTGTCTTTTGCCTCAATTTCATTATATTTAATATGGACAACTGGATGCTACTCATGCTATACAATCGTATTAGAGAACGTTCTCTATCTCGAGAGAGAATATTTCAAGAGAGAAGATGCTTCTGATTTTTTCCATTGCCTACTCAGAAATGTCACTGATTTCATTTTTTTTTTTAAATTATCCTACATCAATTACTGAACTATTGAATAAGATGTTAATCTTACTTAGATAGTTAAAAAGAAATTAGATGGTAATATTTCAAAAAATATTTAAGTATGCACACTTTTCTAACTTAGGTTATTAAAATTTTTATTTGTTAAGAGACAATTTGACATTACAATCTGTAAAAATGATATAAAACAAAAAAAAAAAAAAAAAACAATTTTGTCAAAATTACGTGCTTTCTTTGCCACCTGATCTATAATTATGTACTCTGCATTTTCAAACATTTTACAATTTCATTGGTTAAAATTCTATACCATGTTGCATACACAGATAACCCGAACATGTATAATCAATCTAGTAGAATTGTGATGTCATCAACTAAGATGAGATTGTTAAAAGTGACCAGAATCGCCAGTGTCTCTGAGAGATGAATTTCCTCTCTCATTTTGACATCATTCATCCTTGAACGAAGAGATGAGAGATAAGTGACCAGAATATGACCCAGGTCTCTTCTTGTTTCGAGCAGTCTTACGGGTGTTGCCAGTTCATACACAGTTTGTGATATCAACACTTGCTTTAGTTTAGTATTCCCTAACAGTTTTCTATATAATTATATCTAAATATAAGTATGCAGAAGATATACCCTTGTAGAATTAATTTATGTAAATCAGTTTTATTTCAGCAGCAGGTATAATTTTTTTTTTAAATAGCATTAATGTAGACATTCCATTGTATACTTTAAACTGCTATTATTTTATTATTCAAAAATTTTAAATTTTTAGAGAAGACGTGAAGAAGCAGAAAAGAAAAGAACAACTGACAAATTGAGATCTCCTGTTGTTTGTGTACTTGGACATGTTGATACTGGGAAAACAAAAATTCTTGATAAGGTAATACAAATATATATATTTATATTTCTTTTTAATACAAAGTTAACATTCTAAAAAAGAGAATGAATTATCTAATTGCAGATTCGACGTACCCATGTTCAAGATAATGAAGCAGGTGGTATCACTCAACAGATTGGTGCCACCATGGTACCTCAAGAAGCATTAAAAGAACAATGTAAAATGGTTAAAAATGTAAAATCATTTTTTGCATTTTATTATTACATAAACATTTAAAATTATTCATTACAAAATTATAATAATTATATTATTAATGTTTTCAGTTTCCTGAAGAAATTAAATTGCCAGGTCTATTAATCATTGATACTCCAGGTCATGAATCTTTTAGGTAGTAATATAAAATTTTGCATTACTGATAATTTTAAATAAATCAGCATTATTATTTTCATTTAAGAAAACCAATTTCAATATGTTAATTAATTGTGTAATAATAAATGAAAAAATTAATAGACATGGATTTTAAAATTAATTTGAAATTCAAATTAATTTTATGAAATGTCTGATGAGGTTTTCCTCATGACTTAAAAATCTAGATTCAAAATATTATACTTTAGTATATGCTTTTGCCTTAATTCTGGATTTTGTTGATATATCATATTTTTGTTAAATCACTAAAACAGTCTTTTTTTTTACTGTACTAGCAGAAAAGCCTGGCATTACCTAGTCAAAAAATAACAAGAAATATTAAGATTTTTAGATTATTTCATACTTCTAATACTTATATTATATTATACTCTTCTCTAACTGCACTTAAATAACAACCAAACCGCGACAAAAACCTTTAATATGCAGCCTCTTTTATTAACTTTTCAAGTGTTTTTGGCCATTTGAATGACCTTCAGGAATAAAAAATCAAATGATTCCAATTTCTATAAAATGAGCTAAAGTAATACAAAGGATTCAGGACAAGAGACACCTTAAATATGCAGAAGCATGGCAAATACACAAGACCAGGAGGGAAAAGCAATAAACTTCAGACAATTCTCTAAAGAATTGAGTAAAGTCTCAGTGGCATGGAGAACGGGCATAATCTGAATATTGTAGTATGAAAAAGGGATGAATGGTTAAAGAATTGGGTACTGTTGTGTTACTAATTTTAATTATTCATTTTATTTTCATTTATTTATTTATTCTTGTATTATATTTATATATCATTTATGTGTATATTTGTATAAGTTACTTGTATAGAGTGCCACTGTCCAGTCATATATCAACCTACCTGTATATATATTGTATTTTTTATTTAGAGGCTTGTACACTAGACATCTATGAAAATTCAAATGTTTAAATTGTTCCAAAACAAATTTTGTTTTATAGAAATCAGAATCATTCGATTTTTTATTCCTGAAGGTCATTTAAATGACTGAAAACATTTGAAAAGTTAATAAAAAAGGCTGCATATTAAAGGTTTTTGTCGAGGTTTGATATATTATATTATTTGATTTATATAACTCAAAGGTTATCTTACATAAGTATTTATTGCACCAAGTGACCAATCTAACACTTTTTAAAAATTTTTTAAATTGCATACAGTAGAGAAAAATGAATTTTAAAATGTGTTAGATTGGTCACTCTGTCTGATAAACTTTTACATAAGATAACCTTTGTAGCTGTTTAAATCAAATAATATAATATATTATATTATAGTACAGGGATGAGCAACACGTGGCCCGCCAAGCATTTTTAAAATTGAATTTATTTTATCGACTTTCTCCCATCAATATATTGTTATAAAATTATTTATAATAAAATGGTAGTACATACTAAACCGAAACAATTTTTTGTGACAAGATACACACTTGTCGGCGACTTGTTCAAACATGCAATACAAACGCGCCGCGTCTGTGCTTGTTTGTGTTTGCTTCTGTCACACAATCAGTCAGACTGGTAAGCTGTTAACTAGCAAATTTAGCAATTCTTGTGTTTCTTGAAAGGCGTGAGTGCAATATTATTGTCAAAAAGGTAATATTAGAGTTTTTTTTATTCAAAATTAAGTTTTCCTTCAAATTTTTTTAACTTTCAAATTTTTAATCCATAATAGCATGTCGGAAAAGCAAACAAAAAAACAGAAGGTTGCGGATGAGCACAGGCATTTCCAAGAAAAGTGGAAATTTGATTATTTTTTCACTTTCGTTGAAGATAAAGCTGTATGCTTAATATGCTCAGAGACTGTGTCGACATTAAAAGAATATAACATAAAAAGGCATTACGATACAAAACATGAACAACAATATAAAAACTTAACAGGACAACTCCGGATAGATAAGTTTAATCAAATGGAGAAAAACTTGGGAAAACAACAGGCTATTTTTAAAAATCAAGCTATTTTATCAAATACGGCAGTAAAGGCTAGTTTTGTTGTCAGTCAAATACTGGCAAAAAAAATGAAACCCTTTGCGGATGGAGAGATGATAAAAGAATGTCTGACTGCTGTTGCAGAAATAGCATTTCCTGATAAAATAAATATTATTTCAAACATTAGTTTATCAAGATTCACCATTGCAAGGAGAATTGAAGACTTGTCCGAGAACATAGCAACAACGCTTCGTGAACGCATTGCAAAATTCGAATACTGTTCTTTGGCACTTGATGAGAGTTGCGATATTAGCGATACAGCACAACTGGCTATATTTTTACGTGGTATTGACACCAAATTTAATATTACCGAAGAATTGTGTTCACTGATTCCAATGCAAGGGACTACAACCGGCAAAGACCTGTACGATGAACTAAAGTCTGTGTTGGAAAATTTTTCAATTTCATTAGAAAAGATTATTGGTATATCGACAGATGGAGCACGAGCAATGTCAAGCATGGAGGTAGGAGTATCGGGAAGGCTATTTCAAGACATTAAGAAGGTCACAGGAAGGGAAATATTCGTTAACCACTGCATAATTCACCAGGAAAATTTGTGTGCGAAAAGATTGAGTTTGCCAAATGTCACAGTACCAATAATTAAACTAATCAATTTTATAAAGTCGCGCGCGTTAAATCACCGTGAATTTAAAGAATTCCTGAAAGATTTAGAAACTGAATATGGCGACGTGGTTTTTAATACCGAAGTACGTTGGCTTAGTAGAGGTGCAATGCTAAAAAGAGTATACAACTTAAAAAGCGAAATACAATTGTTCTTGGATATGAAGGGATATGCCTTTCCTCATTTTGGTAATAAAGAATGGATGTGCGATTTTGGGTTTCTTATCGACATGACTCAGCATCTCAATGATCTTAATGTGGAACTTCAAGGCAAAGGACAGTTTATTCACAATTTGTATGATAAAATTCAGGGCTTTGAGCGCAAATTAAAATTGTGGAAACAGCATCTTTTGCAGAATAATGTGTCTCACTTTCCACATTTAGAAAAAGAAAACGTTACTACTTCTCAAAAATACGCACAATATATAGACATTTTAATCAACGAATTTCAATTACGATTCCAAATGTTCAAAGCTGAGAAGACAGCGGTTTCCATGAAAATGTTTTCCTCGCCATTTAATATCGATGTGGATACAGTTCCCGAAGACTTTCAAATGGAAGTGATTGACATGCAGAATAATACCGATTTAAAAAATGTATTTTTCTCAGTAAACATCGAAAATTTTTATAAATCTTATGTGAGCCCTGAGAAATTTCCGCTTTTGACGAAAAATGCAAAGCAAATGATGTCTCTGTTCGGAAGTACGTATGTTTGCGAACAATTATTTTCAACCATGAAATTAATCAAAAATGACCACCGATCAAGACTGAGTGATGCACGATTAGAAAGCTGCGTACGTGTAGCTACCTCATCAATTCCGGCTGATATTGATCAGCTTGTATCGAAAAAACAGTGCCAAATTTCTCATTAAAAATTTCAAGTAAATTCGTTTTTCTGTTCTTTTCTTGTTTGTTTTTATTTTGCATTAAAATTTGTATATGAAATCTTTACTTTTTTAAAATTTTATATTTTTTTATTCTAATGTATATTATAAATAAAGTTTTGTAAATTATTAATAAGTGTTACTTTATGTGCGGCCTGCCAAAAAATTTTAAAATTTAAATTGGCCCATTGATTAAAAAGGTTGCTCACCCCTGTTATAGTATATAGCAAACATTAAAATGAAAATTATGTAATGGTTTTTAGTGTATTGTTGTCAAGTTTATTGCGATACTCATATGGTAGGAAATGGCACATTTTCAATGGTCAAGTACACAGGAATTGAAAATATGATATCTTAGATTTTTTTATTTTTTCTAATGTTAACTCTAAGAAACTGTTTAATTCACAGCTGAATATCAAATGGTGATCTGCCAACCAATCAAATTTTGCGAAAAATAGATCAAATATTTAAACTCTGCACCCTCAAAAACCACTTAAATCATAATTTGTACTGGCCGATAATTTTGTATTATGTAATTTTCCTATTCAAATACCACCATACCTCTGGTCTGATGGGAAGAAGAGACTGTTGCAGATGGAGGTTGAAGTTAATTTGACCAAAACTAGTAGTAGTCCTCCTTCCAGGAAAGAGGATGGTCAATGAATTCTAATTAATACTATTGTACTATTAATATTTGAAAAGTGATTCATATTGGATAGGTTCTGATGGCCCCACATGTGATAAAAGTTGCTAACTTTAATGTCATATAAGATTTGTTTAAATAAAAGAATCTTGTGAAATTGTGAGAATACTAGCTTTTATGTGATCCTGTGAAAAACTGGTGAAACCAAGTTGAAAAGGTAAAGCTCAGCAAAAACATTTAAGTAAAGGAAAGTTTTGAAAGTTTGACAATAAGACTCAACAAGTGAATAAAGTGCACATTACTACACACAGACTACAACTACAGGAAATTTTGAATGAAGCAATGTTGCATGATAATAAATAGGAAAAATAAACATAGGCACAGAAAAAACTTTGAGCTCTACTTTGTATCTTAAAATTGTTGCATGCACATTAATTTGGCTGAACGTTAGAACATCTTAAGCAGTGTCAGTGAAAGAACTTTGGGGCAATGGGTTTATGAGTTAATAAGAGAGATGAAATCAGGAAAGGGGGCAGGGTGTCCAGATTTTCTGGTAGTTAAATATGTCTTTGTAGATATCGTGTTATAAAAAAACTGTTAGAATTGGATTAGATAAATTGATAGCTTATGTTAAATTATCATTATTTTGTTACCAATATTACAAATGAAATATTTAATTTTCAGTTATATTTAGTGAAATTAGTAATTATGTAGAATTTAATCAAATGCAGACTTTAATAAAAATTGTTATTGAATTTTATTTCAGTAATCTACGTTCAAGAGGATCATCTCTTTGTGACATTGCAATTTTAGTTGTAGACATTATGCATGGTTTAGAACCTCAAACTCTAGAATCAATTAATCTTTTAAAACAAAAGAAAACACCTTTTGTAGTTGCATTAAATAAAGTAAGAATTTATTTATTAATTCACAAACTTATAAAATTAATTTTATTCATTTTGAATCACATTATACTTCTGAATGATTTCTAAAATCTTAAAATTTTTTCATTAATTTAGATTGATAGATTATATGATTGGAAATCAAGCAGAAACAAAGATATTCAAGATATTATAAAAAGTCAAGCCAGAAATACAAAATTAGAATTTGATGAAAGAGTGCGTGAAATAGTTGTTCAATTTGCTGAACAGGTAATTTCAGATAATTGAAAATTATAATAAAATAAATAAATTTCTAAATTTCTACTGAGATGAGAACTTTTTAACAGAAATAAGTTAAAACAAAATATTTTAACTTTTGTTAATAAATATAAAAATATAATTAATGGTCAGAAGATATCTAGAAATTAATATTTTCTAAAAATAAATACAATCATATACAAATTTTAAAATTACTGTTTATCTGAATAAACTTTTAAATACTGAAATTTATTACAAGATTTATGAAGTATATTAAGTGTATACTTCATAAATTTTGAACTCATCACCTGTAATAAAAGTAATGAATTTATAAAATCTTTTTGAAAGATAAAAAGGATAAAAAATTTAAAACAAATATAAATAATCATGTATCAGATAATAATGAAAGACATAGAAAAATTTAATTTTTTTACTTTTGTAAAAGTAACAGAAAATACACTGCTGGCCATTATAAATCAGCACTAAGAAAGACAGAGCTATGAAAACCATATGTATTATACAAATAACTTATGGAACAATGGTGAAATGATTACAGTTTCAGCCTGATTTGAGCCGTGGCACATACAGAAATCAGTATTTTGTGTAGCCACCATGAGCAGTGATAACTGCTGTCCAGACTTTTGAAGTTTTATTTCTTGTCACCTGGTGCAAATGATTGATTTTACAAAATTACAATAGCTTTTTAGCATTCTCGCTAAAATTAATCTTTTTATTTTAAGTTGAAAATAAATTAAAGTTTATGATTACACTGATCCCCATGTTTATGAATTGGAGCTGAGTAACCCTTCATGAACATCAAATTCTTGAACTTTGAGTTATATTTTTAACTAGTTGCAAGGACTTGCTTCGCTGGGTTTTTATTTGTATGTAATATAGTTTTTTTTATATATATAAAAGATTGTTTTTCTAAGTAATCTAGAATCTAGCTGCAAGGACCCGGTTCACTGGGCAAAAAGTAACGATAGTGGAGATTAAGATAATTACATTATAGCCAATATTACCCATTTTCACAGAATGCAAGAATTAGGTCCCTTGTTTCCAGACTAATTAGAGAATTTTTACATGAGTCTAAAAATATGTTCGATTTTCTGCAAAAACGTAAAAAACCGCCTGTAAATCTTGCATGCCTCTTTATATTAACACTTCCTTTGTTACTCAACACTTCCACTGTTAACACTTCTATTGTTGACACTTCCATTGTTACACATCTTCAAAGTCAACCACTTTCAACCCCATATCTCCCACACCCTTATAGCACAGAATGCAAGAATTAGGTCCCCCGTTTCCAGACTAATTAGAGAATTTTTACATCCAGTCAAACGAACTATTTTCAATTTGATCAATTTTCTGGAACGTTTACAATCGTTCTATAATCGAACCAATTCGAATTTAAAACGGTTCGAACATTTTTAAAATCGAAATAGAAAATCTTCGAAGTCAACCACTTTAAGCCCCCATATCTCCCGCACCCTTATAGCTATCGAGACGCAACCACCATAGTGCACGAATGGAGACTTGGGGCTACTACCACATACAAACACCATTCATGTGCGATGTGTAGTTTTGGCTGAAAAGTGAAATATAGGGACACACACATCCATTTATATATATATAGGGTGGGCCAACGAAAACGAAACGGCAGAGTTATCGTGTTCGTCCAAGCAAATCGCTCGGACAGATCGATTTTATTCTCAAGGGGAAATATTTTTTTCCTTGCATATGCGGTCCAGCTTAAAAGGTTTTTTTATGTTTGTTAATAGTTTGTGTTACTTTTTCCGAAATAAGTGTTTGTTTAGTTAATAAAAAATGAATGAGTTTTTAAAATATTTTGTTGTCTGTTGTATTCAAAATCACAAAAACTTTATTGCAGAAAATGTCCCCTTGATAATAAAATCGACCTGTCCGAGTGATTTGCTTGGACGAACACGATAACTCTGCTGTTTCGTTTTCGATGGCCCACCCTGTATATTGGGTTGTTCGGAAAGTAAGTTCGTTTTTTTTACCACTAGACGGATTAGTGGTATTTTTCCTGTTATTTTCGTTCTAAACCGTATTATCATTATATATTTTGACAGCTAGCATTCTATGGCTTATTTGTAAAAAATTTTGTTTGATTTTGTGCAATTGTTTATTTTTTTGTCCCATGAAATATGGAAGATCGAAAGCAGCATCTTCGGCATATTTTGCTTTTTTATTACCAAAAAAATAAAAATGTCATTCAAGCAAGAAAAAAATCATGTGACATGTATGGTGGAGATATGTTGACAGAACGACAGTGCCAAAACTGGTTTACAAAATTTCGTTCTCGCAATTTCAGTATTGAAGATGCACCACGTTATGGATGGCCAATTGAAGCCAATGAAAACAAAATAAAAGTACTGATTGAAGCAAACTGCGGAATAACAACACGTGAAATCACTAAGAGATTAAATTTGTCAAATTGAACTGTTAATGAGTACTTGAAACAAATTGGTTTCATTTCAAAGCTCTATATATGAATTCCACGAGTTCTTAAAGAGAAATGCTCTATTTGGTGGGATATTAAGGAAATTTTTTTTTTTTGGAGCTTTTATCAGACAATTTAACAATTGATTCGAAAGTGTACTGCATTCGAGTAAACAAATTGAGTAATATCATCAAACAGAAAAGGCGGCCAGAATTGATCAACAAAACAGGTGTAGTGTTTTACCACGATAATGTCAAATTTCACACAAGTTTGGTAACTCGTCAGAAACTGTTATAACTTAGATGGGACGTGCTATCACACCAACCGTATTCGCCAGATCAAGCATACTCAGATTATTACTTGTTCTGGTCTGTACAATTTTTTTTTAACTGTAAGACATTTACTTGAAATGACAATGTCAAAAATCACTTGGATCCGTTTTTTGTAAGCAACGATCAAAACTTTTATGAATGTGAAATTGTGCTACTACCAGAAACGATGACAACAGATATTTGACCAAAATGGTCAACATATAATTCAATAAAATATTTATTTATCATAAGAATATTGTGTTTTTTTCCATGGAAAAAAACAAACTTACTTTCCAAACAACCCAATATATATATAGATGTTAAATTTGTAACTCATTCCAAGACTTTGTCAACAGTGGCCAAACTGTAGCTAATAAACCTCATGCAGTTCTTCTAGATCCTTATTGCAGCTTCCATATACTTAAACAATTTCTTTTTATAAACTTGGTGAATATTACTTACATAAATGTAATATTTTTGTACATTTTCTGGCTATTACCACCTATGTTTTTATTACACTATGAAAGTGTAACTCACAAGCTCAAACAGGTAACTGAAAGCTTAGGGTACATTCATAAAGTCAAAGGAGTTAAATGATTATTTACCTAGTCAATCCGTCATAAGGTACCAGTAAAGTAAGAGTGATATTTACTGTACAAAGGCCACTCTGAAATATTTTTCCAGATATGCAAAAAACCACTGAATGCAGAAAAAACTGTCTGCAATGTTTATACTCAGAAAATATTTGACAGTAAAGTTCAAAAATATACTTGCATTCTTGAAATTTTCTGTGCACGAGAAGTGCCTGACCTTGGACGCACCACTATATCTGGAAGTTGAAAATGAAGCTGATGAAGGAGCATTTCTGAGCAATGATGTTTTACAACTTTAAATCTAGTTTATTGGAGCCCCATTGCTTCCATTGTTTACAAGCAGTATTTCCTGATTCTTGTCCATCAAGAACAAAAGTATTTTGATACTTTGGAAAATATAGATGTGACAGAAACAATCTTAAAGATGAAGAGAGAAGTGGTCGAGCTGCAGTAACTCTGGAAAATGTGGTTCATATCAAGAAATTGTTTAGAGAAGACCCCCATATAACTCTTAAGGATATCAAGCACACTTTGGGTATTGAATTTACAGTGAATAGTAACTTGCACAATTATCTTTACATACATCAGAAAGATCGTGTCTCTATGAGTGTCTTGTTCTCTGACTGCTGTTACATGCTGGAAGAATTTCAATGGAAAAGCTCAAAATATGTGTGACATTGTCACTAGTGATGAGATCCACCAGTATGACTCCAAAAGCAAGAGACAGTCCGCAGTTTGGGTCTTCTCCAATGAAGCATCCACCTATCAAAGTCAAATACCTAAGAAATTTCAATTGGAAACTGCTAGTGACATTCATTGGAATACAGGGTCATGTTGCCATCAATAACTCTTGAGGATTGGAAAACAGTTAATGCTAAGTGGTATTTCTTCATTTGTCTTCCTCAAGTCTTTCAACAAATCTGCACACAATGCCCTAAAACAGGTTATTCAGTAATTAATTAAATATAATTGCAGAAAAGCAGCTTGATGTAATCCAGTGGTGGATTGTTTAACAATTGTTTGGTGTGGTTTAACAATTGTTTAGCATTGCTAAACAATTGATATACCAAATTTTAGCATCAGTTTAACTCTGACAACATGTATCACAGATAGTTATTGAAATCAAGGAAAACCTTAATTTGACTTGAATATAAGTAGAGGCATAAATATAAGTCAAGAACACTTTCTCCTCCTTTAAAACTGGGGAAACAAACATCAATTAATATTTCAATATGGGGTTTAGCAGTATTTTTTGATCGTTCCCATACCAGGCCTCGGAGTTGCTCACTTTTCTCACTTGTACTCACTTTTCTGAAGTATCCTCACTTTTCAGGTTATTTTCTCACTTTTCTCACTTTTTTGGTCATTTCTACGTGCTTAAAAATTAGGAAGATGTGGGACCAATCAAAAATAGTTTTAAAGCCAGACGATCTGCCGAATTATCGAACTATCGGACTAGATTTTTATGGAAAAAAATACTCTGCCCGNGTATATATATAATTATAATAAAGTTACAATAAATTAAGTTAATATATAATTATATGTACAGTATCTAATTTATATATAATTTATATATAATACTGTACAGATGATAGTAAACTCAATTTACCCACCTAAACTCTCCGTAGCATGGCACTGGACGGCGGAAAGTAGTTCGGCTGCCCGATGATGTTTTACTGAATTATAGGAGTTTACC